TGGCAAATAACACTGAATATACCATGGACTGCCAGAAGATCAAACAAATCTGTCTTGGAAGAAGTGCAGCCAGAATGCTCCTTAGAAGTGAAACTAGCCAGACTTCATCTTTTGTACTTTGGTCATGTTATCAGAAGAGACCAGTCCCTGGAGCAGGATCTCGCAGTAGTTAAGGTTGTGTGTCAGTTTGACTGGGTGGTGATTTTGAGTGGCTTGACAGTTGTGATTCCCCATGATGAGACTGGATGTGGTGTAAGCACCTCCAAGGTGGAATCTGCTGTGAGCAACTTATCAGCTGAAGGGAACTTGCCTTCTGGGTCTGGCCTTCTTCCAGTGTATATGTAAGAGCTTTGGGAAAGGTCTCTTTTTTTTTTTTTTTTTAAATTTTTATTGTGTTTTGGGTGAAAGTTTACAGAGCAAATTCATTTTCCAAACAGCAGTTGATACACATTTTTTTTCTCATGACATTGACTGCAATTGGTGTCTTGCTTTTTGCTCTTGCAGTTAGCCTGCCATCACCTCTAGTTCCTGGACTTGAAGCAGTGGCTTGCCGTGTTGCCTGCCAATCTTGGGATTATTGCCCTCATAGCCTATGAGCTAACAATCTGCCATTTTACCTGCCCATCTTAGATTCATCAGCCTCAGAGCTAGCAGCAGCCTGCTATACTGCCTGCCAATCTTGAGTTCATCAGCCCCTGCAGCTCCATGACTCAGCTTGCTCCAGTGGGCCTGGAAGGCAGAGTTGAAGCCCGAGGTTGAGGGGCCTCCACCCAGCCTCTAGAGCCAGCACTCTGAATTTGAACTTCTAGCCTCCTAAACTGTAAGAGAGTAAATTTCATTGTGTGAAAGCCATCCACTTGTGATATTTTCTGTTATAGCTGCACTAGAGAACTAAGACAGATACCATGCTTGGTAAAGCAGAGGGTCAGTGAAAAAGGGGAAGACCCTCAATGAGATTGACTGACACAGTGCAATGATGGGCTCAAACATAGTAGTGATTGTAAGGATGGCACAGGACTGGGAAGTGTTTTGTTCTGTTGTACACAGTGTTGCTGTAAGTTGGAACCAATTCAATAGCACCTAACAAAGCGACCCGGTTTCTGCTGTACTTTTGCTTCCTGCCATGTTTGTTCATGATTGGAGGGGGAAGGAGTCAACTCCAAATTATTAGAAGATGGAAATAACTGTTGTAAATGTTTATTAAGTGCTTGCTGGTTGCCAGACAATGTTCTTAGTGTTTAACATATAGCACTTTACTTGCTCTGCACAATAACCTCATGGGGTTGATTCTTTTATGATTTTCATTTTACCAATGAGAAAACTGAAGCACAGAAAGTTAGTGACTAATCCAACCAAGATCACTGAGCAATTAAGAAAGAGAGCTAACATTTGAACCCAAGCTAATGATTTCAGAGGCTATGATCCTAAACAGGGAGTTCTGGTGGCGTAGTGCCTAAGGCACTTGCCTGCTAACCAGAAGGCTGATGGTTCAAACCCACCAGCCACTCCTCGGAAGGAAGGTTGGGCAATCTACTTCTGTAGTGTTACCACCTCAGAAACCCAAGGAGGGGTTGCTATGAGTCGGATCCGTCTCGACAGCAGGGCATTGCGTTGGGTTGTTGATCCTAAACAACATTCAGGAATGGTCCTCAATGATTAGCAGGCTCCTAAGAAGGTCTGGGGGTCCCTGGATGATGCCAACTGTTACGTGTTTGGGTACTAACTGAATAGTTGGTGGTTCAAACCGACCCAGAGGGACCTCAGAAACCAGGCCCAGAGATCTACTTCCAAAAAACCAGCCATTGAAAACCCTCTGATTCACAGTTCTACTCTGATGCGCATGGGGTCACCATGAGTCAGAATCCACTCAACAGTAACTGGTTTGTGTTTTTCTTTAAAGAAGCTATGGAATACCCATGGATACATTTTAAAAGCTTTTGTCCATTTTGCCCCACTTGTGATATTATTTAGAGCTGAGCATTAATAGATTATTAGGTACCCAAAGGTGTCCCGAAGAAGCCCCGGTGGCATAGCGATTAAATGCTTGGACGCTAACTGAAAAGTCAGTGGTTCGAACCCATCAGCCCCTCCATGGGAAAAGATGAGCCAATCTGCTTCTGTAAGTATTTATAGCCTTGGAAACCCTGTGGTGCAGTTCTACTCTGTCCTACAGGGTCACTATGAGTCTGCATCAACTTGACGGCAACAGATTTATTTCTTTTTGGTTTAAAGGAGTCCCCGGGCGAGGCAAACAGTTAACATGCTTGGCTGTAACCAAAAGGTTGGCGGTTCAAACCCATCCAGAGAAGCTTTGGGAGAAAGGCCTGGGGATCTCCTTCTGAAAAGTCCGCCATTGAAAACCCTATGGAGCACAGTTCCACTCTGACACCCATGGGGCCACCGTGAGGTGGAAACAACTGGAAACCAACTGGTTGAGGTGCCTAAAAATCATAATGTTGTGATGACATGGAGTTTCCTCACCCATGCAGAGATTTTCCCAGGCAGATGCATAGGAATACACACTTGGAGATGGCGAGAAAGAAACAGCAAATCCTCTGGGTCTCTCCTTGTCCGTCATTAGGTCAATGGCGTGACAGTCCATGGAGCCACGCCCCTCTTCAATGCTTGCTGCAGCGGCAGTGCTGCGTGTGTCAACGTGCTGCTGGAGTTTGGAGCAAAGGCCCAGCTTGAGGCGCACCTGGCTTCCCCCATCCACGAGGCCGTGAAGAGAGGTAAACCAGCCACCACACTGCACACATGGCCTTGGTGGGCTCACGACAACCCGCATGCATCAGTCCTCTCGTGCACGCCATGAAAAGGTCCTCCCTCTGTTAGAACAAGCGTGGCTTAGAAAGTCCACAGCAGTCAGGTCAATTTAATCCTCAGGAAGTGCCATGATGGCATAAAAGGGCTCTTCTTGTCACCCAGGGATGTCTTCCTATCTCAGGTACTGCACTTCCTGAGTGTCTTCACAAGGAAGGTGTCTTCTTGAACCTCTTCGCTGTGGTTTTTGGTGGCAGCTGTTGCAGCCAAGACAGCAGTTGCAACTTCCATGAATTGTACTATGTTTATGTCTCTGTCCTTAATAGAAAAAGAATGGCTCACTCCCCCAAGCCTGTAAAACAACAGCCACTCACATGAAATACATTATGAAAGTATCTAAAAGCCAAGGCTGATACTATCTCTAGTGGAAAATTAAACATAACTGTCCACAACTAGCAAGACTCCCTACATGAGCTGATGACGTCAAGGTCAGGTACTGGGGGAAAGAAAAGTTGCAACTTTTAAAAGCATAGCCCAGGTCATCTCCACACTCCCGTATTCTCAGTTACTTTTGCAGTGAGGGAAAAGGGTATATATTTAAGGGATTTAAAAAACATACAGGCATACCTTGGAGGTACTGGGGGTTTGGTTCCACAGCACTTCAGTAAACTAACTGATATCGCAATAAAGCGAGTCACACAAATATTTTGTTTCTCCAGTGCATATAAAAGTTATGTACACAATATACTGTAGTCTATTAAGTATGCAATAGCATTATGAAAACGTTTGAAATATTGTAAGAATTATCAATATGTGATAGAGACATGAAATAAGCACATACTGTTGGAAAAATGGCACTGATAAACTTGCTTGATACAGGGTTGCCACAAACCTTCAATTTGTACAAAATGCAGTATCTGCAAAGCACCATAACACAAAGTGTAATAAAACGAAGTATGCCTGTATACCCAGACTCAACATGAACAAGATGCCATTGAAGGAACGGCCATTTGTCAAAGGTCACACTCAAAGAGCATGATTTCAGTGATACCTATAGTTGGAGTAATTCTCTTACACTGAGGTCCAAAGTACACTGGAGAAGGCAGAACACTCTAGAACAGTAATTTTTGCTGGTGTAATTGCAGATGAAAGTCTTTATCTCAAAAGGTGACAGTGGAAAAAAATAAGGCAAAATTAGATTTGCCCCAGATTCTCAAACATGTCACTTGGTAATTTATTTTTGCAGTGGACTGTTTTAAATGACACAAAGGACCCCAATCTCAATCAATCCCTGTCTTTTGATAGCCAAGACATATTTAATAAACATTTATTGATTAATTACTAATATTAGTCATCACCCGAACTTCAAGTATGTCCCTCAAATTGCAGAGTAATGGACTACCTTGGAAATGATATAAAGGCTTTAAAAAACTTTAATATTGATTTGAAGCAAACAAGACTCAGATATTTGCATTGCTATCAGAACCTTTAAAAATGAATCAGTATAGGGAATAGTTTGAATTACTTAAGTAACTCTGCAGTGCTTGGCTGGTTATATAAGAAGTGTTTGGTATCTGTGTACCTACAAAACATATATATGCTTATTATCAACACCAAAACTCATGTCTCTCTCCATAGTATTTTCTGTACTATAAAAGCAGGTTAAAAACTAATGTCCACAGAATGGAAGAATGAATGGCAAATTCACTTTTTAAAGATACCGTTGTATTAATGCTAATCATCTGACTTTCACATTTTCATTTTTGAAACTTCCTGAGAATACTTACACTTAACTCAAACTAGGCTGTTTCTCCTCTGACAAAAATAAAGAATAAGAATTATTAAAAAATATTTATTAGATACTATTTTCCAGGCTAAGAGCTCTAGTGGCTCTGTGGTTAAAGCACTGTGCTAACCAAAAGGTCAGTAGTTTGAGTCTGCCAGCGGCTGGCTCCACAGGAGAAAGATGCAGCAGTTGGCTTCTGTAAAGACTGACAGCCTTGGAAACCCTGTGGGGCAGTTCTACTCTGTCCTCTAGGGGCCCTGTGAGTTGCAATCCACTCCATGGCAATGGGTTTGGTTTGGGCTTTGCTTCCGTAAAGATTAACAGCCTTGGAAACCCTGTGGGCATTCCACTTTGTCTTCTAGGGTCCCTATGAGTTGGAATTCACTCGATGGCAGTGGATTTGGTTTTGGTTTGTATTTTCCAGGCTGTTTTAGGTAATGATTAGCTATTATTTATGGCCTCTTGCAGCTTTAAACCTCTATGAACAAGCTGGGTCACAATCTGAATTAACACTTTGAAATATTGATGAAATAAATATTATAACCCAATTATAATATTTATGCTAGCAAATAATTTGAATCCACAGACTTCTGATTAAGAAGCTTTAATGTATATTTATACTTAATTCAGAATTTGTAATTACTCAGGTAGGTCTGGGATGAATGAAGAAGCTTAGTTTTATATTCTCTGTAAAGAAACAGTTGCTTAAATTAATTAATGATTGTTATGGATTGAATTGTGTCTCCCCAAAATATGTGCTGTAAATCCTAACCTCTCTACCTGCTGTTGTAAGTCCTTTTGGGAACGGGTTGTCTTTGTTCTGTTGATGAGACAGGATTAGTGTAGGGTGTATCTTGAGTCAATCGCTTTTGAGATTTAGAGATATTAAACAAGTGAGCAAAGTGGACACGAGGGATGAGAGAGGCCAGGCCACATGAAGACTGCCCAGGAGCAGAAGGTCAAAAGAGACAAGGACCTTCCTCCAGAGACAACAGTGAGAGAAAGACCTCCCCATGAGTCAGCACCCTAAATTCAGACTTCTAGCCTCCTAAACTGTGAGAAAATAAGTTTCTGTTTGTTAAAGCCATCCGCTTGTGGTACTTCTGTTAGAAACCTACTCACTGCCATTGAGTCAATTCTGACTTATAGTGACCCCTATAGAGTTTCCAGGGAGTGCTGGTAGCATAGTGCCTAAGACATTTGACTGCTAACCAGAGGGCTGGTGGTTCAA